GAATGCCAATCAAAATCCCTATGTCATTTTTCACAGAATTGGAAAAAACTATCCTAAGATTCATATGGAAGCACAAAAGACCTCGGATAGCCAAAACAACCCTGAGCACTAAGAGCAATGCGGGGGGGATTACTATACCAGATTTTAAGATGGATTACAGAGCTATAGTCCAAAAACAACATGGTACTGGTACAGAAATAGACCTATAGATCAATGGAACAAAATTGAAGACCCAAATATGAGTAAATGAAACTCCAGCCACCTGATATTTGACAAAGGGGCCAAGAATATTCACTGGAGGAAAGACAGCATATTCAGCAAATGGTGCTGGCAAAACTGGATCTCCACTTGTAGAAGAATGAAACTAAACCCCTATCTTTCACCCTGCACAAGAGTCAATTCCAAATGGCTCAAAGATCTCAATTTAAAGCCTGAAACTCTGAAATTATTAGAAGAAAACATTGGAAAAAACCTACAAGTTATAGGTGTAGGAAAGGATTTTCTAAGCCGGACATCAATTGCTCAGGAAACCAAGGCAAGAATTAACAAATGGGACCTCATTAAACTAAAAAGCTTCTGTACATAAAAGGAGGCAACCAAGGAAGCAAACAAAAAATGAACACAATGGGAGAAAATCTTCACCAGTGACACATCCAACAGAGGTTTAATGACCAGAATATCTAACGAACTCAAAAAACAGAACTAAGACAAGAAGCAATCCAATTACAAGATGGGCTAAGGGGCTGAACAGTGTTCTCAGTCTAAAGATGGCTATGAAACATCTTAAATGATGTCCAATTTCAATAATAATTAGGGAAATGCAAATTAAAACTACTTTATGATTTCATCTTAGCCCAGTCAGACTGGCTAAGATCAAGAGAACAAATGATACTAAATGTTGGAGAGGATGTGGGGAAAAGGAAACACTCATCCCCTGCTGGTGGGGCTGCAAAATGGTTCAACTCCCATGGAAAGCAGTGTGGAGAACTCTTAAAAAACTACAGATGGACCTACCATTTGACCCAGTTATACCACTCCTTGGCATATACCCAAAGAACTCATCCTATTGCAGAGACACTTGTACATCCATGTTTGTTGCTGCTCTTTTCACAATAGCTAAGAGATGGAAGCTGTCCCTCAATTGACGAGTGGATAATGAAAATGTGGATCATTTATTCGATGGAGTTTTACTCAGCAGTAATGAAAGATGAAATCATGAAATTTGCAGGTAAACGGATGGAACTAGAAACTGTTATACTAAGTGAAGTAACACAGACTCAGAAAAAAAAATCGACATATGTTCTCCCCCATATGTGGATCCTAGAACCAGACCCTGATAAATGAATATGTAAACAGACATAACTACAGGAACCAGGATAATGGAAAGGAAACAGGGAGGTAAAGGAAAAGAAAGAACCTGAATGAGAAGAACAGTAGGAAACAGGCCTTAATAAGGGAGATATGGATAAAAATTGGGTTAGTTTAAGGGAGGGGGGAGGGAAGGTTATACAAGGAACCTAGGGGATAAAAGGAAAGAAGGAGCTCAAGAGAGGTAGGACCATAGGAGAAGGGTATTAGTAAGGGAGAAAGGTGGAACATGGGGGCACCTTAAGTGGGAAAACCATGATGGAGGGTTGAGATAATGTGAGAGATAAACAATGCCTAGCTAGTTTTGAAAATCAGAGGGAACCATATTACTCCTACAACCTACTGACAAATTATACATAGCAGATCAAGAAATATATGTCTAGGTAAGGTTATCTGAGCACAACTGGTCTTTCCCCAAGATTTGTCTACACGGCACACAGTAATTAAAAGTACCAGAATGGATGTTTAACAGACATACTTTGAGGCCTATAATAATTTGGTCAGAGGGACATAAAGGACACTTTTTGCTCCTTGCCCTCCTACATCGACTAGTTTCAGGGGACTATGAGCATCTCTCCAAATGTCCTGTAATGGTGGTAGGTCACCTGTCCTCTTGATCAAGGAGGCCGAGGAGACCCTGTGAGATGGACTTGAACCAGTGTCCAGTCTACAAAGAGGAGGGTCAACACATGGAGGAATAATTTCCTCCATGCTTCCAAGTGAAGCCAACCATGGTAGAGCAGGACCTTTGACTTATCTTCACATAGGCAGAACTCATAAATCTAAAAAATCATTAGCCTGGGGCTGGGGAAGATGCCTCAGTGGGAAACATGCCTGCAGCCAAGGATGAGGACCTGAGGCTTGGAAAATGACTAGGGAGAACTTGCAGCCAGGAACTCAGACATGCAGAAACCAGTCTTCTGACATTGCTACCACTCTGGCCAGCTCCTGAACAAGCACATTAGGAAGCTACCTTTGCCACAATGACCCTTGGAAACCCATTGCCAGTGTTGCTACTGTCATTGGTCAGACTGCATTGTCTACTATATTGGGGTGTTTGGTGATCAACTTCTGATTGACATTGATGCATTTGATTGGACATGTCTGGGTTACATGATGATGCCCTGGCTATAATGATGCCTGGGAAAATATGGGTGGTCATGTGACATGGCTCTTAAGGGGGCAGTGCCCAGAAGAGGGAATAATTATGAATGGTGGACAGGTAGGGCTAGGGAAGGTACAGGACCCAGGCCAGAACCAAGAAATTCTGCTCTAGCTTGGGGATCCTAAACAACACCACTTCCTGACAAGCATAAGATTTTTAGCAGAAAGGGAACATCAAAGATAAAGATGTCTAATGCACAGTTTTACCTAAGATGACACAGATTAGGAAGCTATAACATTGTGTTAGCCCAGCTGTAGCCCTGCTTTCTTTCTGAAATCAGTCAGGTCTGTGATGGTCCTGTTAGATGCCCTTTTCTGCCCACACCCAGCCTCCTGGTATCTTTCTTCATCTCAGTAGAGACTCGAGGCCAGGCAGCAGCTGAGCTAAACTGCCAGGCTCACTGTTCATTCTTTTCTACTTACATACCTTGGACAAAATGCTCCTCTTTCCCTGTCTCCCCGTGTAACAGGGGTGATAATGACAAGTCAACTCTAGAGGGTGTCTTAAAATAAAGTGAGTCAGTGGAGAGTAATCATATAGAGAGGTATGAGTTTTCACTTCCCCTTTTCAGACCTGCCATCTATAGATGATGTTCCAGTCACTGAGATGAGTTTTCATCTCAACGAAGAGAGCTCAGTTTCAAAATCTGTAAGGCAATTAGAGGATGTTAACTCAGATGATACTGTAATGAGGGAGACAGGACGATGACATTGATAGAGACAGGTGAGGCCAGTGTACTTTCACTTCAGCATGGAAGGCATCGTGTAGCAGATGCTCTTCTCAGAAAAGTGACACAAACTGTCTACAAATTCAGATGGTTGAAATGTCATAACTTTTTTTCTAACCCCCGAATTCAATTTTTGACACCCATATTCTCATGGGTGTCAGGTCATCCACAGGAGAGTTGCTGACCTACTAAGGGGCCATACCTTTAATGAAAACCCATCCCCACCAGAAGCCATCAACTGTCAATAGTTCTTCTGCTACAGGCGGGGGCCCATGAACCCCTCCATCTTCTATACTGGAATGTTGACTGACTTGGTGTTGTGCAGGTCTTGTGCAGGGAACCAGAGCTACTGTGAGTTCATGAAGGAAGCAGTCCTACCATGGCCAGAAGACACTGATTTACTTAGGTCCTCCCCGACCTCTCACTCTTACAATCTTTCTAGTCTCTCTTCTGCAGTAGTTCCTGGGCCTTGGGGGTGGCATGTTGTGATACAGATTTCCCATTTGTGGCTGAGAACTCCACAGAGACTTATTTTCTGTACTTGGGCTACTTGTAAGTTTCTCTACTAACCACCATCCACTGCACAAAGAAAGTTCTCTGATGCAGTCTGAAAGCTCTATCTATGTGTATAGAGATATGAATTTAGAGGGTAGCTTGATACTATGTTCATTTAGCAAATAGTAGTATGCTCACTCCTAGGGCTTATGAGCTCCCCAACTATGGGTGCTTGACCAGATTTACAGATCCAGGCATGTGTTTCATTTTGAGGAGCAGACCATAAATCCAACCAGAAAGCAATTGGTTATTCTCATAATAGCCATGCCACTGTTAAACCTATGTGCATATCTTGCCAGGCTGGTCATTATTGTAGTTCACAGCTCGGTAAGACTGTTGTTGATGACTTTTCTCCCTAAGCAGCCTTCATAGCACCTTCCAGGACTACACAAGCTAGTTAGCAGAGAGGAAGTTTCTTGATCAGTACAACTTGATTTCTCCATGTCCTTTAACTAAATCATGTGGTATCTTCAGCAGTAGAGTCTTACAATCACATTCTGGTAGGCAAACAAGAGTGATGGCAATAGTTTGTTTGGGGGGTAATAGGTAAGAGGTCCCCAGGCCCCAATCACTTGGCTCAAACTTTCCTATCTGCCTATCTTATAATAAGGGGTCTCTGGACCCTGAATCCCCCTGCTCACACTTCCACAGTTCACCTTGCTCTTTGTGTCAACAGGTCAACAATCTCCAGACAATCTCCAGACAACCAACTAACTCCAGATGTGGAAGTTTCAGAGAAAAGCCAGAAACAACATGAAAATCCAAGACATGTCTTTTCCAAAAATTACTAATCCCACAACAGTGGACTCCATTAGGAATACCTCAATGGGCTAGAGAGATGACTCAGCAGTTAAGAACACTTGCTGTTCTTTCAGAGGACTATGTTTGATTCCCAGCACCTGTGTGGTGGCTAACAACTGTCCATAATTCCAGTTCCAGGAGATCTGGTACCCTCTTCTGGCCTCTGTGCAATATTTCACGTATGTGGTGAACTTACACATGCAGCCCAAAACACTCATATACATAAAATAAAAAATTAAAGAAAGATTGACCTTGAAGATCTTTCAGACAATAATTCAAAAGAATGATTATAACTATGTTCAAACAACTCAAGAACACAACACATCAAAATCTATGAGACACAATAAAGGCAGTTTTAAGGAAAGTTTATAGTACCAAGTACCTATATCAGAAACCTCAAGAGATCTCAAGTTAATAATTTAATGAGGCACCTGAAGGTCTTGGAAAATCAAGAACAAACCAAACTCCCAAACAGTAGGTGAGAAGAAATAACCAAAATCAGGGCTGAAATTAATGAAATAAAAACAATCAAATAAGATCAATGAAACTAAAAGTCGGTTCTTTGAAAAGATAAACAGGATTGACAAATTCTTAACCAAATTAATATGTGTAACAATAATAACTGAAGAGATTATGAAGTTGAGAGGGCATAGGGATGTGAGAAGAGTTGGAGGGGCAAGAGGGTGGGGTAGAAATGATGTAAAGACAGTCCTTCTATATGAATTAAAAAACAGCTATATTCCACAAAAGTGGAAAATCTAAAAGAAATGGATGAATTCCTCAATGCATACAACATACCAAATGTAAACCAGAATTAAATAAATAATTTAAGAAGATCCATAACCATCAATGAGCTTGAAGCAGCAATTAAAAAGTCTCCTTGAACTAGGTGGGTTTAATGAAATATTCTACCAGAACTTCAAAGAAGAATTAACACCAATACTACCAAATTATTCAATGAAGTAGAAAAGGAAGGTGTCAGATTTTTTATGAAGCCAGAATTACCGTGATACCAAAGCAGATAAAGACAATACATAAGAAAATTATAGACCAATCTTCCTGATGAATGAAAATGCACAAATTCTCAAAACAAAAAACAAAACAAAACTAGAAAACAGAATTCAAGCCCATATAAAAAAGATTGTTCCTCATAACCATGCTGGTTTCATTCAGGAGATGCAGGAATGGTTCAACATGTGTAAATCAATAAATGCTACCCATCATATAAATAAAATCAAAGACAGAAATCACATAATCATCTCCTTAGGCACAGAAAAAGTCTTTGCCAAAATGCAACATATTTTCTTGATGGAAGTCATGGAGGGGCTGGGAGGAAGGGGTTTACCTCAACACAATAGAGGTGATATATGAGAAACCTATAGTCAACATCATACTAAATGGAGAAAAACCTCACAGTTGCTTGTTAAGATCAGGAACAAGGCAAGGGTGTGTACGCTTGCTCTATACACCTATTCAATATGATGCTTGAAGTCTTAGCTCAATCAGTAAGACAAGAGAAGGAATAAAGGGCCTACAGATAGGAAATGAAGAAGTCAAGGTATCCCTATTTGCAGATGATATGATTATTTATATGGAACCTTAAAGACTACACCAAAAAACTCTTAGAGCTGATAAATAATTTCAGCAAAATGGCAGGATAAATAATTAACACACAAAAATCAGTGGCCTCCTATATATGTCAATACAGAATGAAAGAGAAATCCGGGGAACAATAACATTCACAATAGCTGCCCCCCACTCTCACACACACATACACAAATTCATTCTCTCTCTCTCTCTCTCTCTCTCTCTCTCTCTCACACACACACACACACACACACACACACATACACACACATCTGTGAACACACATCTGTGAATAAACCTAGGCAAGAGAATGAAAGACTTCTACAATGAAAATTTTATGTCATAAAAAAATTGAGGAAGACATTAGAAGATGGAAAGACATTCTGTGTTCATGAACTGGAAGAATTATTATTGTGAAAATGATCATCCTACCAAAAGCAATCTACAGATTAATTCTTCACAGACCTAGAAAAAGCAATTCAAAAATTTATGTGGTGATACAATAGACCACGGATAGCCAAGGCAATCCTGAACAAAAACAGTACTGGGGCAGGTATCACTGTAACTGATTTCAAATTATACTACAGCCATATTAGTAAAAATAGCTTGGTGCTGGCACAAAAATAAAAATATAGATCAATGGCATTGAGTTGAGGACCTAGATATAAGTCCATGTAGCTGCAGTTACCTGATTTTTGACAAAGATGCCCCCAAAAATACACTGGGGAAAAAGTATCTTCAATAAATGGTGCTGGGAAAACTGGATTGCCACATGTAGAAAAATGAAACTAGACACTTATTTCTCACCAGTCACAAAGCTCAACTCCAAACGGATCAAGTACCTCAACGTAAGACCTGATACTTGAAACTGCAAGAGGAAAATTAGGGAGTATGCTTCTATTTGTAGGTGCAGGTGAGGACTTTCTGAATAGGACTCTGGTAGCACAGGAAATAAGATCAACAAATTAGCAAATGGAATCTCATGAGTCTGAAACAGCAGTGGAAAACGTGAATGAAGCAACAGGCAGCTAACAGAATGGGAGACAATATTTTCCAGCTATTCATATGACTGAGGATTAGTGTCTACAATATACAGAGAACTGCCCTTCCTCCAAATCAAACATCAAGAAAACAAACAACCCAATTTAAAAATGAGCTGTGGAACTGAAAAGAAAACTTGCAAAAGAAGAAATGCAAATGACTAGTAAAAACTTGAAATGCTCAACATTATTGGCCATCAGAGAAATGCAAATTAAAATTAAGATTCTCTCTCAGCATGCACAAGACCCATGCTAACTCAAGCAGACAAAAACCTAGCACAGAACTGTGGGAAGGGGCAGTAGGCCCCAATCGTAGTCAAAGAATTATTGGCAGCTGAGTACTGCTGGGTGAGGAAGAGTTGATGATCTTAAAGGGAGAGACTCTAGATAGGCTGATGCCCTAGTTTTTTTTTCTCCATTTCTGTAACAAAATACTCTGACCAATACCAACTTGGGGAGGAAAGGGTGGGTTTATTTTATCTTACATCTCCCAGGTCACAGTTCATCAGGTAGCCCAAGGTAGGAACTCAGGGCAGGAACCTGGAACACAGGCCATGGAGGAACACCGCTTACTGGCTTGCTTCCCTGGCCCTTTGCTCAGCCTGCTTTCTTATGCAACACAGGCCCACCTGCCCAGAGGTGGCACCACCCACAGTGGGCTGGGCCTTCCCACATCACTCATCAAGAAGATGCCCATCGGCCCTGGCCACAGGCCAGTCCAATAGAGGCAATTCCCCAGTTGAGACTCCCTTGACACAGGTGTGTCAAGTTGACACTAAAGCTATCCAGCACAGCTGACTAGAGCTCAGTGAATGAACTTGCACTGAGGGATGTCTGGGGAACACTAACTTGACACAATAGGTCTTAACACAAATGAAAGATTGTATGAATTCCAGTGTGTGTGTGTGTGTGTGTGTGTGTGTGTGTGTGTGTGTGTGTGTGTGTGTGGCAGGTCTATGGGAGGGTGCCAGTGGGGAAAGGAGTATAAAGATGATTAAGATTGATTGAGATGTTCTGTATGAAATACACATTCAATAAAAAATTAACAACAACAACAACAACAACAAAAAAGAGTCCCTCTCCTCCCAGTCAGAATGGCCATTATCAGGAATTTAAATGGCAACAAATGCTGGTGTGGATGTGGTAAAAGGGAAACTCTTATTCACTATTGGTGGGAGTGTTAACTGATGCAGCCATTTTGGAATCAGTCAGGAAATTTCTCAAAAAAACCCTGGAAAATCAGTCAGGAGGTTTCTCAAAAAACTAGAAATAGATCTGCCACATGATCCAGCTATACTGCTCCTGGGCCTATACCTAAGATAACTAATATCCCACTACAGAAATACTTGTCCATCTATGCTCGTTGCTGCTCTGTTCACAATCACTAGGAAATGGGATCAACCTAGATGTCCATCAGCAGATGAATGGATGAGAATAAATGTGGTAGATACACACAACAGAATATTACTCAGCTATAAAGAAAAAATGAAATTATGAAAATTTCAGGTAATGGCTGGAACTGGAAAATTTATGCTGAGTGATATAACTCAGGGCCAGAAGGACATACACTATTTTCTCTCCTATGCAGATCCTAGCTTCAAATCTTTTGTTTCACTTGGAACACAGATGGAAGCCAGGAAACTAGAAAGGGGCTTTGGGGGGGTCATGTTAAAGGAGCTGGCATAGCAGATTATGGGTAAACTGAAAATACTGAAGTGGAACACTGGAGGTAGGAAGGCTTACATAGGGAGGGATGTGGGAGAATGGGGAAATCAGAGGGTGAAGGGGAAGCCTAACCCAAATGATGGGATAAGATGAGCCATATGCAAGACTAGTACCTCACAACCCAACTTAGAAGTGGAAGGATAGAACGTATAAGAAATGAAAGGGGGGATACTGAGGGTTAGAGGCTTAAGCAGGGGTGGGGTGAGAGGTTGGAGGACAAGGGGATAGTAACCAAAACTAAGAATCTATGAAAAGGACTCATGAAAAGCCTCTAGCTAGTAATCTGTGATGGTTTGAATGGGAGTGTCCCCATATTTAGACATTTTGTCCCCAGTTGGCGGAGCTGTTTTGGGAGGTCTTAGAAGGTGTGGCCATGCTGGAGGAAGCAAGTCACTGGGGGTGGGCTTAGAGGTTCTTAAGCCTTGCCGGATCTCAAGTTGCTTCCTGTGCCTGCTTGAAGATGTAGAGCTTACCTTCTGCTCCTCCTGCAGCCACCTCTGTGGCCATGCCTCCCAGCCATGATGGACTCTTGCCCCTTTGTAACTGTAAGCTCAAATAAACTCTTCCTTCTATAAATTGCTTTGGTCAGTGTTTCTATCACAACAAAAAAGTAACTAATAATCTAATTTCAAAATACAACTTAAAAAATTAGAGCTAGAACACAGTTACCCTGCAGTGGTTGACAATGTGGCAGCTCTCAGAAGATATGTTATTAAATGAAAGTCACAGTCCAAGCCATGGGTTACCTTTCTACGGGTTATTAAGGAGCCCCCAGAGATATCCAAAACGACACAGGCTATTGGTATTGCTCTTGGTTACCCAAGACCCTATTGCTAAAGAGACCACACATTTTGACTGAAGGAAGTAGAGAAATCAATCTCAAACCAACTGGGAAACTTCCTTCCTGCTGGCTAACTTTCATAGTGCCAGAAAGTGCTGTGCAGATTGTTGGGGTAAAAAAGACACCAATTGTCTTACCCAGATCTGTGCCTTGCATGCTGCAATACTGAGCTGTCAGGAAAGATGTGCCTACGAGTGCAATAGTGGCATGACTGTTGTGGAGCAACCAAGCACTTTCAGACTGGATATTGAGGCCTGATCCATATGAGGGAATTTTATGCCTGGTACTATATGGAGTCCTGGTCAAAACCTCATGACTGGGGAGATTATGAGCCCTAGGTTAGAACCTGCTTGTGTTACTTTGCTAAATGGTCATGTTGTCAAAATGCCTTCTAAATATTTATGCTTATACCATAACATAGACCTGGTCAGAGTTTTTTTTTTTTTAATGCTTCATTATTTTTATTTTTTGTGTATAAGTATATTGCAAGTGCACTCATGTACAGCAATGCTTGTGGAGATCAGAAGAGGGTGTCGGATCCCCTGGAACTGAAGTTATAGACTGTTGTTAGCCACTGTGTGGGCTCTGGGAACCAAACCCCGGTCCTCTGCAGGAGCAGCCAGTGCTCTTATCTGCTGAGCCATCTCTCCAGCCCCTGGAGAAGTTTCTTTTTGCAGGACACAGCAATCCTCTGCAGAGTGGAGAGATGTATAACTGGTCTAAGTGCTGAGAGCAAGAGATTGAATGCTCAGCCCTTAAAGGGACATCTAACTCCACCACCACCAAGGCTCCAGCATTTTGACAGAACAGGAGGCAGAGAGAATGTAAGAGTTGGGGTTGGAGAGATGGCTCAGTGGCTAAGAGCACTTGTGGCCCTTGCAAAGGACCCAGGTTTGGTTCCCAGCACCCACATAGCTGCTCCCAACTGTCTGCAACTCCAATTCAGGGGGTCCAACGCCCTCTGTGGGCACTGCATGCCCATTGTGCACATATGTACATACAGGCAAACACACAAATTTAGAAAGAAGAATGTAAGGGTTGAAGGATGAGGAGGAGTGAAACGCTGTCTTTTGCACCTGACATGGCTACCTCAGTCCTGAACTCGCAGCAGCTGTGGCTACCTTCAAAAGACAGATGAAGTCAGCCAAAATTTTAGCAGGGATGGGTGGGGTACGCGATCTCCAGGCCACACCTCTTACTGAGCAGTTATTGGCCGTGAATAGTTGAGGGAGGGACAATCATTCTTTTTGGCGGTGTAGCCACTGTTAGATTTCCCATGCTTCAGTGGAGCCCCCCCCCCCCCCCATAACCAAGAACATACGGCAACACTAACTGGATTACTGGGTTATAAAAAAGATATGAAGTTGGGAGTGGACCATAGATAGGATCAAATTTCAGTGTGTACATGTATGAAATTCCCCAAAATAAAGAAAAATGATGATACAGATAACTGACGTGGAAGTGAGGAAAAGAATCGGAGTCCAAGCTGTAGGCATCTATGAATTAGTGTTGAAACCTTCTTAGTTCTCTCTTGAATTATTATTTTTTGTCCTGACGCTAGAAAGACTTAAAAATTATCATTCAAGCAAATTTCAAATACACGGATTTGGCTATAGTTGATGCTGGAAATCACGTTAATGTGAAACCTATGAGAAACCTGCTGGAACACAGTTAAGAAATGTGTCTTGAGGCTCTGTGCCCTGGATTTCTCCTCTACTGCCAGGTGTTGTCCTGCCAGTTGGTAGGGAACAGAAGCCCTGAATTTCTGTGGGAGGCGGGAGGACAGAGCTGGTCCAGGAGGAACATTGCTCGTCGTCATGGCAACCCCGGGAGCAGCAAACAGCTTTGCCTGCGGACCACACGCTGCCGAGCGGGCTCTAGAGGACAGCCGCGCCAGGGGACAGCCGGGGACAGCCGGGGACAGCCGGGACCGCAGCGGCGGGGCCTCTGCTCCGGGCCGCCGCCAGCGCATCGCGAGTCCCAGCAGCGCTGGCTCCGCCATGGACAAGCTGGTACTGTGCGCGCTCCCTCCCCGTGGCGCCCGCCGGCTGCCGGGGCGCATGCGCGGCAGAGCCACCCGGGGCTTCGGGGCGTCTCGGGTGGAGGCAATAATGAGGGAGGGAGAGAGGCTTTTGTTCTGGGGTTAAACTTTGGAGGGTGGGGTCCGAAAGCAAGTGCTTTCGCTTTCACGAACTTGTTGTCTACGCTTGCTGCTTCTTGAATTTTGCAGTTTTCTCCAGGGGTAATAGAGAGCGGGCGGCCCCGCCCACGGGGCACTAACCAAAGGCAGTCGCAGTGCGCTCCACGTCACCTCCTCCCCGTCTTCATCCGGCGGGGTCCCTTACTCTCACGGTGGACGCACGCTGGTTGTCAACGACACGGACTCAAGCCAGCCCGTGGTCTCACGGCGAGCATCATGAGTGTGGCGAAGGTCACGTTTGTTGGCTGTGTTACTTAGCTCTCCCAGGCCCTCAGGTTTGGACAAAAGTAAATGTTTAGTTCCCTTGGAGAGAGGAAAGAGAGTAGGCTGGGAAAAGCCCCGCTGAGTGGTTTTCAGGCTGAGATACAAAAGTAAGCCCGCTTTCCAGTCATTTGGTCTTTTTAAAGTTTTATTTATTTTTTTCTTTTGTAGTTCTGGGGTTTCAGTTTAGGACTTTGCAAATTACGAAAGCAGTGTATCGCTGAAATAAACTACTTCCTAGCATACTCGTTTATATCCTAGAATATAAAAAAGAATCCAGGTACATTGCATTCATTTTCAAGGGAGATTGCATTTACATGCGTACTTTTATTTAACTGCCATATGTCTAGCTACTTAACTATAGAAGTCTATGCTGACCAATACAATATGCATCCTCTTATGGTTTAACAAATGTAAATATATACTTACTGAATTAAGAACAATGCACATCTACAGCTTACCTACTTTAGCACGTTCTTAGTGGAGCTCTTAAGTTAATTATTTTAATTGACAAAACTACATATTTATCAGGTACAACATAATTTTTTGCACGTGCTAGGCAAGTGCTGTGCCCACTGAGCTACATCCCCAGACTCCCATTATGTGTGTATTGACTGTGTATCAGTTGTGGTATGACTAAGTCAAGCTAATTAAATGGAAACGTTTTATTATGATATGGAAACGTTTTCTCATATAAGTATCTTTTTGTTGTTGTTAAAGAACACAAAATCTATTCTGTAGTTTTAGGAATACAATACATTGTTACAAATTCTAGTCACTGGGTTGAGCGGTAGAACTCTTGAGCTTACTGCTGTCTAACAGAAGTTTTGTTATTTCTGGCTCACATCTCTTCATACTGGAGTCAGACCCCGGGTCCTGGCAACGACTACTGTCTGATTCCACCTGTTCAACTTTTAGAGTCTGCTTGTGAGAGCATACAGAATTTCTCTGTAAATATTTACTTTGTGTGAAACTTGCTGTTTTATTCTGTGAATATCTTATTATGGGAAACATGTCAATATTCTTGTTTTTGTATAATTTATATGTCATATACTTGATGTTTCCAGTGTCTGTTTTGCGTTTCATCAGACTTGGTTCTTTTTAATTTTCTTAATGGCAGTTCAATTTCTATTGCCTGTAAAAGGAAATAGGGACCCTGAAATGACAGGTGATGTGCTGAAAACCAGAAAGCCAATGACTTTTTATGTGTCTTAAATCAGCCTAAATACTATGTAATCACACATAAGCTTTCCAAGTTTTACCTTGTAAGGGTGTGTAACCAGCTTCATGCTCTTGTGTTTTGTTAACTGTGTTTGCTTTAAAGACTGCTGTGTTGTCTCTAATTTTCTCATGGTCTTGGTTTTTTAAGATGAAGAATTTGAAATGATCAAGTGGACCTTTTTTTCTTTTATTCTGGTGGTATTGCTGAGAAGCTAATACAGGGTCTTTCAAACGCAAGACAAGAACTCTAGTACTGAGCTACATTCCCAACTCTTGGGTTTCTTTTTAAATTTTTGGTTTTATTTTTTTGAGACAGTTGTCTTACTGTGTATCCTAGGCTGACCTCAAATTTTCTGTCTTCCTGTGTTAGCCTCCAGACAAGCACCTTTGTGCACAGCAAATGTTTCTTGTAGCACACCACAAAATTAACTTCATATATGTCTTTTTATCTGTTGAATTTTAATGTTATTAAAAATATTATTTGTGGACTGTCAAGAAGGCTCAGCAAGTAAGGGCACCCGCAGCCAATCTGGACAACTTGAGTTCAATCCCCAGAACTCCCATAGTGGAAGGAGAGAACTGACTCCACAAGTTGTCCTCTGACTTCCACATTTGACTTCCACACACACAATAAATAAACATAATTTCTTAAAAAAGAAAATCTTTATAATTGAGTGAAAAAATAGGTTACTAAGGGAATACATATCCAATTTCAAGAAAATAAGAAGAATCTACAAATACATATAAAAAGCAAAATTAAAAACACACAACAAATTATTGATACCATCTCCGGCTAATGACATTAAGGAGGATTTTAATTTTCCTTTATTAAAAATTTCTGCACTAAATGTGTATGAAATATGTATTTATAAATTTTGTATCTAGAAAAAAATGCAAAGAATAATGCTTCTAAACTGGCGTGGTGGAATACATATGTGTAATCCCAGCACTTCAGGAGATGGAGGCAGAAGGGTCTTAAGTTTGAGGCCAGCCTGAGCTACATCAGGAGACTCTGTCTCAGAACAAAGCAAAACAAAAACAAGGGAAAAAAAAAACTTCTAGAATATTTGCACAACACCCTTTGGAGACAAACTGAGCAGCCTTTGGTAAATATTTTGCTTCCTGTGTCTATGGGTCAGATCTTTGTAAATACTCGCTAGCAGCTCAGGCTGCCTCCCCCAGCTAAGCAAGCAGCTCCTATTTTACATAAGTTAAAGGCAGAAGGGGATAAGAGCATTTCCAGATCAGTATGAAGAAGACCAAGAATGAGTCAGTGTGAGGCTCAGTTTCTGTTGGACACACAGCATCATTTTCTTAGAGCTCCTCTGTGTTAGTGTATTACCCCTTAGCCAAGGTTGATAGGGAAGAGGTTCTGGCAGCTGTGCTCATCAATCATCAATGCTGCTAAGGAGTATTTCCATAGTTACAGACACTGAAGCAAAATATAATGCATACAAATTGTCATGCTCCTAAAATGTGATCTCCACAGAACTTCACCTTCCCTTGGGAAGGTAGGCTTCCTTGCCCTTCCTCTGCAAGTCTGGGTAATGGAACTTATGAAGCTAATATCAGAATTAGAAAAAAAGATGCCCTGCGTGTGGGTAGGCTATTTTGAGGAACTGGCTCCTCCTCCCGCTTAAGACTACAGGAGGAAGTTCACCTGTTACATTTTCTCCTTTTGTCCTGCTTAGCTCTTTCCTGGCTCTGAGCCTTGAAGCCCTTTATTTATACGTCTGTGATGTTTGCATTTGGCTTTATTTCTTGTGGCCTTTAACAAACAGACAAAAAGGGAGTGATGTAGGGCTAGCTCATTACTTCATCAACAGAAACCAGTAGCTTCAACGCAAGAGAAAATGACCTGCCAGGGATATTTTTATTTCCCAGACTGCTTCTCCTCCAGGGAAACCAGCCTGAAAGCGGTGTGTGGCTCCATTTGTCAGGGCAGGCCCATCCCCCTGCCATATCCCATGTGTGCCGTGAAGGACATGGAGTTGGCTGAATGGATGTGTTCCTTATGTATTCACCTCTCTCTAGAGAAAATGCTTCGAAAGCAAGGATAGAACAGCCAAAGTATATTAGCAATGACACTGGAGCAGTTCAGCTCAGTTCAGTTTAGTAAACACTAACAAGTGATGATACCCACTGTGTTTAGGGTACCGCAGGCAAGCTTGGGGGAGAGAGCCTTTCTCCTCCTCCATTTTTGTTTTCTCCCTCCCACCAGAATTCCTTCTTTCAGTTTTCTTCATCTGCTCTTTCCTCCCTTCCTTCCTCCTTTTTCTTCATTCCTTCCTCCTCTTTCTCTTCTGTCTGATTGATGCAGAGGAGAAACAGCAACTCTTAGAGGGTTCTTGGTCTCATTCATAAAAGAATTTAAGAATGGACTCAATTAGAAGCTTTAGGACAGTTTTATTAGAATTTTAAAGAAAAATCCTAGGTTGGAGATACAGTTCAGTGGTTAAGTGCACTGGTTCCTCTTGCAGAAGACCTGGGTTCAAGTCCCAGCACCCACATGGTGGCTAACAACCATCCGTAACTCCAGTTCCAAGGGGTCAAAGCCCTTTTCTGACCTCCATGGGCATTGCATGACATGGATGCACTTACATACATGCAGGCAATACACTGATACACATAAAATAAATACATTTTAAAGAATTTTAAAGAAAAATTCTGGGTATGCAGGCTGGAAATCTCATCAGCTGCCTTGAGGAGAATGGAGGGGAGAAGGGAAAAAGCCGTGAAGCCATGCAGGGTTAGAGCCTGCGCGGAGGTCAGACACTTGGTGGACTGGCAGCCACATGGCTGGGAAAAGGAAGATTTAGAGGAAAAATAAAGAAATACAAGATGCTGGGGCAGCCCAAAGCATTAGAGAAAGCCTGCCCTTTTCTTAAACTCTCCTTTAATATTCTGAAATTTCTCTGATTCGTATTATTACACTAATGATGTTTTTCCTCATTTTTAAAGTTAAAATTTGTATTTATTTTTATTTTTACATGTATGAGTATTTTGCCTGCATGTATGTAAGTGCACCTGTGGGTACAATGCCTGTGGAAGCCAGAAGAGTGCATCAGATCCCCTAGAGCTGGAGTCATGGATCATGGTTTGCTACCATTTGGGTGCTGGAATTGAAACCCAGTTCCTCTGTAAGAATAGTTAGTGCTTTTAACCAGCGAATCATCTCTTTAGTCCTTTGGTTTTGTTTTTTGTTTTGTTTTTAAATGAGAACAAATGAGAAACAATCACAGCACCTTCCTGCTGTTTCTGGGTGACTTGTAGTAAGATCAAGATCCCTCTTCCGGAATATGGAATGCAGGGAGCCATAGTACTTGTCAA